AATTTCAATCCAATCTTAACGTAATTAGGCTCAAATTGAAGCCAATTAAATTCTTGTATTCAGGTTTCCAAAGTTTTGAAGATGCAGAACCTCAAAGTTGAAAAATCAAGGCGATGAGCGAAGAGAAAGAAATCTTTTGATGTCATTTTAAACGACATTGGTAACTTTGTTAATGTTAATCCAATCTTAACGTAATTAGGCTCAAATTGAAGTCAATTGAATTCTCTTCAAATGCTCATATTTAGATTTCTAGAGTTTCGAATATGCGGAGCCTCAAAATTGAAAAATCAAGGCGAGCGAAAAGAGAGAAATCTCTCCATGTCATTGACGTACATTTTACATCGCATCTTCGTTAATTTCAATCCAATCTTAACGTAATTAGGCTCAAATTGAAGCCAATTAAATTCTTGTATTCAGGTTTCCAAAGTTTTGAAGATGCAGAGCCTCAAAGTTGAAAAATCAAGGCGATGAGCGAAGAGAAAGAAATCTTTTGATGTCATTTTAAACGACATTGGTAACTTTGTTAATGTTAATCCAATCTTAACGTAATTAGGCTCAAATTGAAGTCAATTGAATTCCCTTTAAATCCTCACATTTAGATTTCCAGAGTTTCGAATATGCGGAGCCTCAAAATTGAAAAATCAAGGCGAGCGAAAAGAGAGAAATCTCTCCATGTCATTGACGTACATTTTACATCGCATCTTCGTTAATTTCAATCCAATCTTAACGTAATTAGGCTCAAATTGAAGCCAATTAAATTCTTGTATTCAGGTTTCCAAAGTTTTGAAGATGCAGAGCCTCAAAGTTGAAAAATCAAGGCGATGAGCGAAGAGAAAGAAATCTTTTGATGTCATTTTAAACGACATTGGTAACTTTGTTAATGTTAATCCAATCTTAACGTAATTAGGCTCAAATTGAAGTCAATTGAATTCCCTTTAAATCCTCACATTTAGATTTCCAGAGTTTCGAATATGCGGAGCCTCAAAATTGAAAAATCAAGGCGAGCGAAAAGAGAGAAATCTCTCCATGTCATTGACGTACATTTTACATCGCATCTTCGTTAATTTCAATCCAATCTTAACGTAATTAGGCTCAAATTGAAGCCAATTAAATTCTTGTATTCAGGTTTCCAAAGTTTTGAAGATGCAGAATCTCAAAGTTGAAAAATCAAGGCGATGAGCGAAGAGAAAGAAATCTTTTGATGTCATTTTAAACGACATTGGTAACTTTGTTAATGTTAATCCAATCTTAACGTAATTAGGCTCAAATTGAAGTCAATTGAATTCTCTTCAAATGCTCATATTTAGATTTCTAGAGTTTCGAATATGCGGAGCCTCAAAATTGAAAAATCAAGGCGAGCGAAAAGAGAGAAATCTCTCCATGTCATTGACGTACATTTTACATCGCATCTTCGTTAATTTCAATCCAATCTTAACGTAATTAGGCTCAAATTGAAGCCAATTAAATTCTTGTATTCAGGTTTCCAAAGTTTTGAAGATGCAGAGCCTCAAAGTTGAAAAATCAAGGCGATGAGCGAAGAGAAATCTTTTGATGTAATTTTAAACGACATTGGTAACTTTGTTAATGTTAATCCAATCTTAACGTAATTAGGCTCAAATTGAAGCCAATTGAATTCTCTTTAAATCCTCACATTTAGGTTTGCAGAGTTTCGAATATGTGGAGCCTCAAAATTGAAAAATCAAGGCGAGCGAAAAGAGAGAAGTCTCTTCATGTCATTGACGTACGTACATTTTACATCACAATTGAAAGTCAGTTTTTGGCTTATTGGACGTTAAGATGGCGTGGAGTACAGGGTGATCTATTATAAATGTAACCCCCTGCTAACTTTTTCATTTGACGTTTTTGACAGAAGTGTCAAATACAAAAGTTTCAAGAAATTGTCAAAAGTTTTTAACTAGTTAGTTTTAGGCATACAGGGTGCTTCATAAAAGTGCAGCACTGTGAAGTTTAATTTTTTTAAATGGAACACCCTGTATATTGTGCGCCTATTTGTTAGTCCCCTTTAACCTGATTTCAACGATATACGGTTTGATATGTTTATCCCTCAGCTTATCTCCAATAGTTATAGGGAAAAACGCGAAAATTCCTTCCTAGGTCTCTCATGTTATTTTTTTTTAAATAATAATAATAGCTTAAATTAGACATCTGGATTTATTATAATATTTCACCTTGTATATTAATGAATAAAATTTGAACAATAAACTAATAATAAAAAAAATTCTATAAAGCTTAAATGGTATAATTTTCCTTTTTTCAATATGAAACCTTAAAAGGGGTTTTCATGTTTTTCCTTATAACTGTTGAAGATAGACATATCAAACCCCTTCATCGTTGAAAACAGGTTAAAGGGGACTAACAAATAGGCGCACAATATATACAGGGTGTTCCATTTAAAAAAATATAACTTCAAGCTGCTGCACTTTTCTGACGCACCCTGTATGCCTAAAACTGACTTAGTTAAAAACTTTTGACAATTTCTTGAAACTTTTGTATTTGACACTTCTGTCAAAAACGTCAAATGAAAAATTTAGCAGGGGGTTACATTTATAATAGATCACCCTGTACACCGAAACGTCGGCATTGATTTCATCATTAAATTAACGTCCAATAAGCCAAAAACTGACTAAAATCAAATATTTATTTGCTAAACTACTTTTACATTTATTGAGGTAATATTACTTCTTAGGTACCTTTCCTCAGAAAGCAGGTACTTTGGTACTTAACTTATCTTATGCTAAAGTAAAAACTGGCTCATCAAAATTTTTGATTGTGTTAATAAGTAGGTAAGTACTTAGGTACTTAAGGAAGGAACTAATTTCATCAAAATAGACAAAAAGGTAGGTACCCTAATGGAATCTTAAAGACTCTCAGACTTTAGGATTTATTTATCTGCAACAATTAGTCAATTCTAAGACCTAGAAATTTGCATTTTGTGTCCATAAAATGCTGTTTTACTAACTTTTTCAGGAAAATACCTCAAAATTACCTTATTTTTCTATAAAGTTGCTTTAATTAATATTTTCAACCACAACATTCGACGATAAAAGATAAGGAAAAGCAAAATGAAAATGAGTAGGTACCTATATCTGCAGCTGGCCTTTAAAAATGGTAATTTTTCAATAATTTTCGTTAATTAACTAGCAGTGTACCTATATAATAATAATATATACCTATTTACTAGGTATCTGAGAATTTTTTGTTGATTTATCACTTCCAAAAAGCCCTAAACATTCCATTTAGTAGGTAATTTCCAAAAGGATGAGCAATCGTTTTTACATGGAAAAGTAGGATAACGGAGCTTTTTGCCATGTTGTCACGTTTATTTACGGCAAATCTTGAACCTATTGGAAATTGGTTCAAGATCCTAACTTAATGAAATGATTACCTACTTTTAAATTATTCCAAGAACATTTTGGTCAAGTTCATTATCATAATGCTGATTTATTTGTGAATAATTTATTTTCTTAAAAATTCGTGGAAAAAATTGGCCTAGAAACATTCTCAGCTGCTTTTCCTCTCACTCTCACCAAAACCAGAACCTCTAGAAAAGAAAGAAGAACCAGGGGTTTCAGAAAGAAATGAGCTTCATAATCCATTACCAGAAGCTTCAGAAAAGAGGAATGTTTCAAGAATCAATTTTGGAACTTTCTAATAAATGATTGATTCACTTGCAGATGAATCAAGATACTTTTAATTCTTCATGTGACAGTTCTTTCTGTTGTCTGTCAATAAATGATTGATTCAAGAATCAAGATTTATTTTGGGAGAGTTGTTTTTGAAGATTGACACAATTTGATTACTATTGAATCAAACGATGTCTGTACGTAGTGAATCACTCAATTATGATTTGTCAAGAATCAAGATACTTGTAAGTTCTACTATGATTTGTGATAGTTCTTTTTGAGAAATGACATTGACCTAAACTCAAGTCATTGAGAGAAATGTTTCAAAAATTAATTTTGGAACTTTTTAATAAATGATTGATTCACTTGTGATCCAAAGAATCAAGAGACTTTTGATTCCTTTTTGAAGATTGACACAAATATGATTACTATTGAATCAAATGATGTTTCTGTAGTGAGGCAATCAATGATTGATTCACTTGTCAAGAATCAAGAGACTTTATTAAGTCCTACTGTGACACTTCTTGTTGAAAAATGTTGACATAAACTCAAGTCGTTGAGAGAAATGTTTCAAAAATCAATTTTGGAACTTTTTAATAAATGATTGATCCAAAGAATCAAGAGACTTTTAATTTTTCATGGGACAGTTCTTTCTGAAAATTGACACCATGGTGTGGTCAATCAATAAACGATTGATTCAAGAATCAAGAGATTTTTGATTCCTTATGTGACAGTTCTTTTTGAAGATTGACACAATAGGATTACTATTGAATCCAACGAGGTTTCTCTGTACAAGTGAATCAATCAGTCAAAAATCAAGAGACCTTTAAGTCCTACTGTGATAGTTTTTTTTTTTGAAAAATGACCATTGACATAAACTCAAGTCAAGTCGTTGAGAGAAATTTTTCAAATACAATTGTGGAACTTTCCAATAAATAAATGATTCACTTGTGAATGATCCAAAGAATCAAGAGACTTTTAATTCTTCATGGGACAGTTCTTTCTGAAGATTGACACAATGGATGTAGTCAATCAATAAATGATTGATTCAAGAATCAAGAGCCTTCTGATTCTTTCTGAAGATTAATAATATGATTACTATTAAATCAAACGATATATCTGTAGTGAATCAATGAATGATTGATTTACTTGTCAAGAATCAAGAGACGTTCAAGTCCTACTCAGTTCTTCTTTGAAAAATAATAAATATATGACATAAAATTCAGGTGGTTTAAAGAAAACCCAAGCAAAATGACAACGTTGTTAGGCAAGCGCACGTGGTGGGGGCTCGCCATTCGATTCCGTAAAGTGGGGCCGATGTCAACACCGATTTGTTTTCTTCTTTAGTTTTTAAATCGACGTTGCCCCGTGTACTTCGTGCCGTCTTTTTTTTGAATATATACTTTATTTATTTATTAAAAAACCTTATTGGTGGACAAAAATAGTAATTATTGAGGATTATTGAATAGTGCCTAAATGATGAGCTTTTCAGTGCAGCTACAAATTTAAAGTGTTTTGTGTATATTATATGGACATTGACTTTTAACTGGACTTTAAAGTCTTTTTAAATAATAATGTAATTTAAGTTGTTTGTTTAAAATCCACAGTGGTACGTTTTTTAATAGAAACAGTGGGCCAAAAATCAAAAAACCTAACTAGGATTTGTAATGTTTCACTAAAAACTGGACAAAATGATGCGTTGCCACAAAAAAACTAAGGAAAGTGGCTTTTTCGAGGGCGACTCTACCGAATCAGAAATAATGACAAAAGCTCTGAAAAGGACTAAAGTGTTCACGACATCCGGTGACGGAAAATGGATTGTGGAATACACTCAGGAAGATCTGGAATCTCAGATCAGAAACAGTGTGAACAGTAAAGGTATATTTATGACTCAGAAGGGCTACGTTTCAATTTCAGGCCAGAATTAAAAAATATTCTATTGTACTTCAGTTTTTCTGGCCTGAAGTTACAAACGTAGGCCGACCATGGATGGGAGTTTTTAAATTTTTTTTAGTATGGATTCAAATGCCTGTATTACTGTGCTGTTACTCAGAAGAAACATTTCTGGGCCAAAATATAGTAAATTTCAAGACCAATAATACATATTTCAGTATTGCACTTTGTTTCTATAAGGGATTTCCCCAATACAATAAGCCTAATATATGGGGATTTTCCCTAAAAAAATGGTTCAATTATTATCTGAATTTCTTATTGCAATTTACTTAATCAATACTCTATATAAAAAAATCAAATTATTGCCACCTTATCATGCATTTTATAGACTTTGCCCATATGGTGCGGGTATATGAACCAGGGTGCAATGCACTTCCTGCTATAACTGCAAGGGGAATTTTTAAATACGCCCCTATATTTTGTCATCTAAAGGTTTTTTTGTTAAGTGCAGTGGCACGTGTATGAACTGATTTATATTGATTCTAGATCCTTCGTATTTAAAGGGGGTTTATTGTTGAAATGCATAGGTACTTATCAAAAAGTTCTAACAGTACTTAAGGCAGAATTATGGGTACTTAATTAAGTACATATGTTTAAGTACCGTAATGCAAAATGCCATATGAATTGAATTTTCAGTTTTTTAAGCTCTCTATTTCTTTGGGTAAATCACAGGAAAATATTTTGTGTCTCAATTCTCTAATTCATTTGATCATCCCCTTATTCCTCTCAATTTTCTTCCTCAATGTCATTTTTTAAAATTTGGTTACAAGGTTAAGAAAAATTGCCAATATTTCTATTAAAATTTGAACAAATTGAAACAAATTATACACTATCAGAAAGAATATTGAATTCTCTATAAATCTGTGCTAAATTGAGCTTGATAACTCAAATACTTTTTGAGCAATTGAGCCTCAAAGTTGGAGTTTAGTTGAATTTTAGTTAAATCTTCAAACCCTCTAAAAATTTCTTTTCTTTTAATAAAAATATTGTTTCAATATTCACCATTTTTTTCAATGATGATGTTGATATTCAATCTATTTTCAATCAGACACTTTTTTTTGTCCCAAAATGAATTTTCTATGTGGCAGACATAGCCAGAAAATTGTCCTTGTCCCACCCCTATCAAAATCGCGCGCATTTAGACCACAAGGAGGGAGACAGAGCGTATTTCGCAGCCCTGGGCCCCCTAAAGTTCAACGTATCAGCAGGGTTTTTGTCCCTTTTTTTATTCCAAGGTTGTCGGCGAGAACTTTTTCTGGAATTTGACCCTTTTAAATAAATAGCCCTTTTAATAATTTAATTTGAAAAAAATCATAAAACCATAGACAAGAAATAACATATACAACTGTTGAAAAAAATGGTGCCATTCACCCCAAGCTTTAGAGCTTGAACCCCATGCAGAGATTATGGTGTGTGTGTGTGGCTTTTTTCCCCTTACTTGTAGATGGAAAAGCTCTTTTCTCCATATAAATATACACGACACTATATTTAAGTATTATGAAACTTTGTTAAACATTTTTCTTTTTTCTTTTAGTTAATCTGTCTGGAGTGGATAGAGTTGATATGACCCATTTCGATTTGCTCAAAGTACTCGGAACTGGAGGTAAGCAAAATAATTGTTAATAATTATTATCATTTTTGTTGTAATAATAAGGAAAACCAATTGAATAATCCTAGTAGTGGGGAATCAATTGATTTCACAAACAAGTAATTAAATAATTTATTAGACAAACAACAAACAAAGCTGTAAACAAACAACTTCATGTATTTTTCTAATTTTGTTTGCTTCAAAATTCTGTAATTATTTAAGAAAAATGTATAAACAAACAAACATGTTTTTCGTTTTTGTCCGAAATTTCGAGTAAACACGATAACTGGCTTGGAAAAAGTGTAATGAACTCGTTCAAGATAAGGTAACATTTACTCAAGCATCGTCTCGAAATTCATTTTTAACCACCCTGTAAAAATTCTCTTTCCAAGAAGGGTAAAACTACATCAGGCGGTTGTTGCGCCAGGCAGGGTTGTTCTCCGCCCCATATTTAAGGGTGACTACCTTCAGTTTGAGGCCCTTTTATAACTTGTTTTATTCAATATGCCTCTGTTGGATTATAATGGAGAGAGAGTGAGGATTTTACCTGAGAAATTATTCTTGGTCTTTTGAGAATCTTGCGATTTCAAAGACTGGCATTACAATTTTAAGAATGAATTCCATATATGAAACAATGATTGTCGAATTATACCTCAAGTCGTAGTTTGTTGTTACAAATCCAATATATCAAGTTATCATCATATTATGAAACAGCACAGGTTCTAGAATGCATGTGTAATACTGGTTTAAAGATACAAGTTTCAAAATTTTTCTTGCTGCAGAAAACTATACATTTTTTGGGACACACTGTCAATGCTGAAGGTTTACATACAACAAATGAACATTAAACAGCAATTCAAGAGATGCCAAGACCAAATAACATGACAGAACTTTGATCTTTCTTAAATTCAATCACTTACTACAGTAGATTTATCAACAAGCTTCATGTTATCTGTGTACAAGCTCAAGAAAGGCAACACGTTTTCTTGGATAAAAGAAGATCAATAACTTAAATTTATTCTCACTTCATCTGATACTTGGGTACATCCAGAGGTGACACAAGTACAGTATGAAAATAGGTACTTGAAGTACAAGTATGTTAAATAGATTTACAGAGCAATAAATTTTGAGTATTTGAGCCTCAAACTATAAACCTAGGAATATTGTAAACTACAGGCCATTTAGAGTTTAATAAGAGTTACAAATGCTGAAAATTTCAATGCAATTTGCCCAATGGTTACCAAGCAATTGAGGTTTGAATATTTTGAAATTAAAATTCAAAAGGGTACCCCTTATAAAAAGTTGATTTTTTAATTTTTCAGTTTTCCTCAATTTTGACATCAGCAATCGATAGAGCGGGTCAAAATTAGTGGAAAACAACTCTGACATCAATTTTAAATGGCCTTTTTAAAACGTAAAAAAATTAAAAAGAGAATCTTAGTTTTGGCTTTGGGAAATTTTTAAAATCTTGACATGGCCATGAGCAATTCCTCATATCTTTGGTAAGTTTCAAGCAAATTGCAATAAATTATATATCATCGGAAAAAGCATTAAATTCTCTATAAATCTGTTTTAAATTGAGTTTGCTAGTGTAAATAGTTCCTGTGCAATTGAGCCTCAAAGTTAACTTTTAGTCCAAATTTTGTCAAAAACTTCAATGTCAATTTTCTCAAAAACTGTAAACCTGGGAATATTGTAAATTACCGGTTTTTTAGAGTTTAATAAGAGCTACAAATGCTTAAAATTTCAACTCAATTTGCCCAACGGTTAATGAGAGATTGAGGTTTGAAGATTTTGGAATTAAAATTCAAAGGGGTACCCCGGGGAACGGTCAACTTCCTCAAAATGTGTACACCGATTTAAAATCACTCTTGATTTTAACTAATTTAACAGATTTGATCAGATTCAAGAGATTTTTATTCAAACCTTAACTGATTTAAGGTAATTTAAAGATTTATTGGATCACTTAAAAAGATTTAAGCTGATTTAGGAAGATTTAACCTGATTTAAGAAGATTTAAATGGATTTAAGATTTTTTTAATGACTTGAACTGATTTAACTTGGGATGATTCAAGGTAAATAATTTAATCCTGAGAAGATAAAATGTATCTAATAACCAGATATTTTAGTGCTAATAGGTACATTCGCTCTCATAAAAGACAATTTAAATTTTGAACTAATAAAAAAAAAGTTTTAAAAGTGATAAAGTTTGTGAGGCTGTGCCACCAAAGTCAGCTAGTCTTGGTACCTCGCTTGGTTTGGTACACAATGTAATTAATTAATTAAAACTTGAATTTGAATTCACAAAAAAACTTGAAGCGAGACTTGAAAAAACACACATGTGCAAGACGCAAACGAATATAAGCAATTGCACCTAAAGGTTTGTCAAGTTGGAGTCGCCCAAAGTTTACGCGGGATTTTAACCGTTTTTTTATCGATTTGAAATGATTTATTTATTTATTTTTTATTTATTGATACATCTTCACAAACACCATAAAGGTAATTACAAGCAAAGGTAAAATCGAGGGCAAAAGAACAAACAGAGTAGAAAAAACAATAAACAAGAACTTACAACTAATATAAAAGACACATACAATAAATAGATAAAATTCTTCTAATTCTAACAAGGAAACATTACACAATCACACATTAAGATATTAAACCAATTATCTGAGAGACGCTAGTGTTGAATATATCAAATGGCTTTTCCCTGTATACGATATTGCACTGTTCCATCATTTTATTTAGAGGAGACAGTTTATACTGACACAAGTTAATTTTAGGTACCCTAAAATCCATAAAATTACAATGTTTGTACTTTATATTATTGACTATATGTATAGTATATGAATATCATAGCTTGTTCATTTCTTCTTTGTACAAGGGATTTTATATGGAAACTGTTTAGCATTGCCCCATATGATACCAAAAACGGGTACACTCCATTTTGCCTAACATACAGAAATGGAGATTTATGAAGATTTAAAAGGATTTGAAGAGATTTAACGAGATATAGAAAGATTTAGGGGATTTATACAGATTTAACTAGATTTAAAAAGATTTAAAGGGATTTTAAGAGATTTAAAAAAATTTAAATTGATCTAACCTGATTTAACATGATTTGATATGATTTATGAAAAAACTAAGGTGATTTAGGGAAATTTATTTAGGGATTTAAATTGTTCCGGATCTCAGATTTTTAGGGATTTAATTGATTTAAAAGGATTTGAGAGGGATTTAAAAATATTTGAAGGGATTTAAAGAGATTTGAAGGGATTTAAAACGATTTAAAGGGATTTGACCTCATTTAATCTGATTTAGAGCAAAACAAGATGATTTATGTAATTTAATAAGGGATTTAAAGTGATTTAAGTCCATTTGTACACCGATTTAACAGAGTTAACCGCCCCCCGGGGTATCCCTTATAAAAAGTCGATTTTTTAATTTTTCAGTTTTGCTCAATTTTGACTTTACCAATCGATAGAGCGGGTAAAAATTAGTAGAAAACAATTCTGACATCATTTTCAAACGGGCTTTTCAAACCGTAAAAAAAATTAAAAAGAAAATCTTAGTTTTGGCTCTGGGAAATTTTTAAAATCTTGACATGGCCATGTGCAATTGACCATATCTTTGTTAAAATTTGAGCAAATTAAAATAAATTATATATCATTGAAAAGAGCATTAAATTCTCTATAAATCTGTAGTGAGTTTGCTAGTGCAAATAGTTCCTGTGCAATTCAGCCTCAAAGTTAACTTTTAGTCCAAATTTTGTCAAAAACATCAATGTCAATTTTCTCAAAAACTGTGAACCTGGGAATATTGTAAATCACAGGTTTTTTAGAGCTTAATAAGAGCTACAAATGCTTCGACTCAATTTGCCCAACGGTTTATGAGAGATTGAGGTTTGAAGATTTTGGAATTAAAATTCAAAGGGGTACCCCGAGGGGTCAACCACTCTGTAAAAATGTGTACACGTATTGCGAAACTGTCGGTATTTCGTAAGTATTTCGCGAAATTCAAAGTATTTCGGTGGTGGTAATTCGAACCTATTTTTTTGTGGTATTGCCGTACTTCGAAGTATTTGGAGGCAATTCGAAGTATTTCGAGGTAATTCGAGGTATTGCGAGCTATTAAAACGTAGTTTTTATTTATTTATCGAGAACAATTAATTCTTTAGGTATCACCTAAAATTGGAATATTATAGAATGAAAATTATAGTCCATCTTCGAACAAACTAAATATGTTAACATAATTTGGAGATACTGCAGATTAATTGAAATAAATGGAAAGACTACCTGATATGTGTAAGTAATCAACTAACCAATGCAGTTAGTTAATAGTAAAGGGTGGCCAAAATTCGATGGTTTTAGCAGGTTTCGGGTACCTTTTGCGATCCTCAATTTTCAAGAGAAGTGCACCAGTGACACCCGCATCTCGATATCTCGATTCGTTTTCAGGCTACAAGAGGAAAAGGGAAAAGTTTACCAAATTTTCATAAATAAAAAAGTTATAGCCCCCTGCCAAACTCCAAAAGTTTTCAAAAACACCTCGTAGCATAAAAACGACTCGACATATCAAGATGCGGTTTTCATCAGTCAATTTCTCTTGAAAATCGAGGCTCGCAAGTGGGGACCAGATTTTTTCCAACTTCTCTAGAAATACCTTAAACCCCCCAAAACCATCGAATCTTGGACAGCCTCTACAGGGTCATTCAACGAGGACTGAACACAGAATTATTTTTGACTTCCTGTATTTTTGAGAAAATACCAAATGCCAAATACCAAAATACTAAAAAATTATTTGAACTAAAGAATTAGAACGCCCAGGGATGAGCTGTTTTTTAAATGGAACACCCTGTTTTTTGTATGATTTTTGGAGAAGTCTCATTTTTTTTACATCTATCTGTTTAAAATATTTGATGTTCTGATAGCTGTTTTTATTTTATTATAATATTTTATTCTTATTAATTTTGGCTTTACCTGTTTAATACTTGGCAACAAAATTCACTGCGATTC